GAAGGCTGTCTCTAGAGCAAATGTGACCCAAATACCAGCAGCAATTTCTGTAATGCTAAAGAAATCTTCTCAATTGGAGTCCATAGAAGGCTTTGCCCTGTGAAAAAAACCACTTAAGGATATGAAAACCTTCAGACCTCTGAGGGGCGCACGTTGACCTCTGAAGTACAGAGACCCAAACCTCAAATTTAATGTAGTTGAGCCTGTTTATCTGCAATACTGATGAAGTTATCCTTTATGGAAGTGCCTGCAAACTTGTAGAGGAAAAAGTCATGTCTGTCAGGGCAGACATAATTTTCTTGCTCCCAAAAAACCACAAATTTTGGAACTTCCCAGGCAGCTTTCAGTAGCTTCAGATTGCTCAGTGCTTCTCTTACGAGGCAGCTGTTTTCCTTGTCCCAGAAATTCGAAAATGCCATGGCCTCATGGAAGGAGGACCTCTAGAGGTCACACAGTCAAACCTCTGTGCTCAGACTGAGCTAGGGCAGGAATCTTGCACTGGAAGAGGAAGGAGTGGTTTTGTTTCATCACCCGTTCATCCATCAGAAGCTTTCCCTCCTCTGACATTTCGTGACGTGTCTTTCGGAAAGATCAAGTCGAGCAGCGCTGTTGCGTCACAGTGGTAGATAAACCACAGCGATGGCTTCAAGACTGGCATTGCTGTGTTAGCTCATGACAAATGATTGATTCTACACTTAATTTTGGGGGAAAACAGTCGTCAAAACCTCTGCATGTGCAGGTGATCCTTTGCTTTACGGAAGCACAGATCAACGTACCAACGGCAGTGCTGCACCCGTTATCCTCCTGCCTGTACAGAGCATAGAGTTTATTTGAGTAATGTGTAAGGAAGGTTTCCATGTCTTAATTATTGAGCTCCAACCCTTTTTTTTTTTTTTTTTAAGGTTCCTCATAAGCGTCTCCTAATGAGTACAAGGTCTTGACCCAGTTATTTAAAATTCTATTTTATTATTTTTTTCCTTACAGAGAGAATGATATTGAAGAATGTGGCTTGGAAATGTTTTTCTCCGTTGATAAAGAAATTCTAGGTGAAATCAAAAGCCATGACTTGAAGCCAAATGGTAGCAACATTCTGGTCACAGAAGAAAATAAAGAAGAATACATTAGGTGAGAAAAGAGCATTTTGAAACCTTCATTTAATCTCCGTCGTTTTCTTTCTTTAGTTCTAGCAAAAAAAGATGGTCAAACTATGTCAGCTGAAGCATTGTTGAATTCTGTCTGAGGTGTTGGCGGCAAGTGGCAATGGATTGGAGATCATATTTGAAAGAGGAAGAATGACAGAAATAAGTTTTCTTTTAAATCCACTTTTCCCAAAGCTTACAGTTAGTAGAAGGTCCCCTTCTTTCCTGGAGACAAGTTTAGCGGAACATCATGGCAACAAGGGCGAACGTCAAGTATTTCACGAGATGGGTGGGTGTGTTTGTCACTGGAATTACGTTGCTTCGGAGCCTGCTGATGTTCTGCCCAGCCATTTACGCTGTGGAGTTGGTTTTTTAAAACACACGAGGACATTTTTTGATACTTTTGGGATGTTTCTTACTTTTTAATGATATTCGGGCTCGCCACTAGTTTTATCTCAACTGCTCTCATGGTATAATTAGCTCTGGCATTTGTAACAGGGCAGCGTTGTGAGTGATGTCGTAAGTTATATTGTCCTGAATGAAGTTTATGTTTGTGGTACCAGAATGTTTTAAAGCAATAGGTTAAGGGGGAAGGAGCCTAAGAACAACTGAAGAATAAAATTATGAACAGTGACCTGCTTTGTCCTGAAATATCCTCTTCTTCTTCAATGTGCAGCATTAAAGCTCTGCTTTAAGGTGTGAACTTTGACATAAAAACTTAGAGGATGTGGTTGCAAATAAGAAATAAATTTTTAAAGTAAATCACATTGCAGGTGCAAAGTAAACTGAATCACAGTGGAATTCTCTTCTTACTGCATGTTCTGTCAGGGCTTCTCTCACGGGTAGGGCTGATTTTGTTTTCCTTGCCTGAGTATTTGCAGACAAAATGTACCTGCATTTTGAACTTTTGCAAATACTGGGCTTGAAAATAGGGAGGATCTGCGGAAGACCATTCTCTCCTAGTTTCTAGGAACCCAGGGAGAGCTCACATTCCAGTTTCACTCCTACTCTTCTGTCTCACTCCAAGTCCTGCTTTAAGTCCTCGAAGTTTCTAGGCTGGAAATCGGAAAAGAGTCACCTCTCCTTTACAATCCAGTTTTCCTGACAGGTTAGGCTTGAATTCAGCATAATATCTGCTTCTCCCTGGGTTCAGGTTCTTCGGGTCTCCTGCCTGCTTTTCACCCTTTTATTAATGGAGAGTGGAGTTTCTGCCTCAGAGCAAAGTTTCATGATTAACAGAAACAAATATGGAACTTTCCAAACGGACATAGTCGTTTCTTGGTAAGCCAGCAGTCCTGCTTCTCTTCACCAGTACGACTTGACCCAGTTTTTACCTTTTCATGGATAATGACTGAGATTTCTGGGGAGAATATTAAGCAAATATAGCTCTGCATCTTTTCCTTGCTTCAGATACCTGGGGACTGCTGTGCTCTCATTAAAACAATCAGCAAACAGAGGCTGCCTCCTCTTCGAGACTGAAATACTTCCCTTAGCAGAATGGTTGGAAACTCAGGGGTTGAACTCAAAGAAGAACCAAAATCATTTGCACAGAGTAAAGGATACGAATAAAATTACAGATTCCTCTATCCCCAGAACTTTCCATATTTTGTTTATTTTTAACGTAGCTTGCAGTTCCTCTCAAAATAGGCCAACAGAGACGTGGCTTTCGGATAGCCCATGCCAGTCAGATTATCTTTCCGTATCTTTTTTTTCCAGGCTAGTAGCAGAGTGGAGACTTTCCCGGGGTGTTGAGGAGCAGACACAGGCTTTCTTTGAAGGCTTCAATGAAATTCTGCCGCAACAGTATTTGCAGTATTTTGATGCGAAGGAACTGGAGGTAAAGGATTGCTTGGCTGTTGCTGGATCTCGGTTGTAACACGTGAAATCCTTCGAACTCTAGCCATTGTGTCTGAAGAGCAGAACCCACTAGGGCTGACAGCTCGGGTTTGAGGGACAGCTCTGTTTTGGTGGCTTTTTTTTTTTCCTTCTGCGTGGGGGAGACTTTATGGAGTAGGATCAGATTCGTGTGTTTTCCCTTCACCTTCACGTGCTACAAAGAGGAAAGGTGAAGGGAAACAGACAAATCTTTTTCTCAAATTGCTTTTGTAATCCTCAGCAATTTGATTTGCCTATGATCCGAGAACGAGTAACTTGACAGAAAGGGAGATGAAACCAGACAGGTGATGGATTTATCCCATAAAGACTGGACCAGGTTCTAGATGGTTTTGATCTCTCAAAATTACACTTTCTGTTTAAGAGAAGGGTAGATGTTGCATTGAAGGACATGTTTTAGTGGTGTTCATAGGGCCAGGAAAAGATTGGAGGTCTTTTCCAGCCGAAACTGTTCTATGATTCTGTGATCTGTTCAATTTTAAAAGATAAAAACAAAACATCCTCTTGCTAGCAGACAATTGTGTGGCTGCACGATGAAAAACCTCCTGGCTTGAATGTCTAAATGCAAGCCATTATTGATTTTTTTCATGACAGAGATGCTTCCTGTTTTGTGGCATATCCAAATACACTTCATGAGCAGTCATCGTTCTCTGTTGTAGAAGTTTTGGATAAATTTTAAAATTAAAACCAAGTATACTCTTGTTGCAGGTGCTTCCAAGTGTGGTTGCAGCCAGTGTTCTGTTTTGCTATGTGAGAAGTCGTAGAACGAAAGTCGTAACTTGTACTCACCTTTTTTTTTTCCCCCTCCTTCCTTTTTCTTCCCTAAAGGTGCTTCTGTGCGGAATGCAAGAAATCGATCTGACCGACTGGCAGAGGCATACCATCTACCGGCACTACACCCGGACCAGCAGGCAGATAGTGTGGTTCTGGCAGGTTTGTAGTCTTCGTTTTATTCCCAGAGCAGCAGAAGTTACAGAGCACGGCTACAGCTTCATGAACAGTGAACAGAATAATGGAACAGATCTGTAGTGGGTAAATAGAAATTGTTCCTGCTAATCCAGCTGTTGGGAACAGTCGTGTAATCTGTTAATCCGTGGATGATGGTGCAAAAATCCAAATATCAAATCAATAGCTAAAGGTTTATTTCAATTAACTCTTTTTCAGTTTGTGAAAGAAATAGATAATGAGAAGAGAATGCGACTCTTGCAGTTTGTGACTGGAACATGCAGATTACCGGTGGGAGGATTTGCTGACCTCATGGGTAGGCATTAATAACCCCTCTGATGCATTAGAAAATTTTTTTAGAAGAACAAAGTTCTATATTTCCCAACATTTAAATTGTTTTTATATTGAATGTTTTTCCGTAAATCCTGCGTGTACTTGAGCTATGGTGGAAAAGGAGGTGGAATGTTTACACTTCTTGTATTGAGTTTCAAAATCACTTCAAATTTACACGTTTCGCCAGGTACAGACTTTCATCTAGACAGAGCCAGGCAGCGAGAGACGGGTGGCTTTTCTCTGTGCTTTGTTCTCATCTTGTGTGTAAGCCTTTCATCCTTGAGTTGTAAGGGACTACCTCCTGACCTGTGCCTTATTGAAATTTGTTACAGGGAGCAACGGACCCCAGAAATTTTGTATTGAAAAAGTTGGAAAGGAAAACTGGCTACCCAGAAGTCACACCTGGTGAGTACGTAACAAATCAGAATCCTACTGGTGTTCTGGGCTTGCTGACAACAGTCTGCCTGGAGATCTTAGTAAACGAGTCATTAACAGTTGGAGGAAGCAAACATCAAGTTACACCAATAAACTTTCTTGTTGAATAATAGCTGAACTCCTGAAAAACTCCTCTGGTGTGGAGTAGCTTCTGTTGCAAATTCTATGGATTTGTGTATTACTGATAATTTAAATAAACAGTACTGTCCGAGGAGATTGGGATTGATTTTTCATTATTGTTACGCCCCATCCTGTTGGTGAGGTAACCACATTCACACTGCCTCCTCCCTAGAAAAAAGGTAGTTTCCACTCAGTCCCTCAGGTGTAGTAGTGGTTAGTAAAACTAGACAAGCTTAAAATGTCAAATGTGAATGACAACTCTAGTTAACCCACTAGGAAAAGTTAGTGAAACTTCTTAGTGAGTACACCACTTTTCTAGAAAACTGTCGCTGTCCAAGTGCTTGAACTCTTAACTTTTGCTCTTGGAAATACAGAAATGTATGTGGGTAGTCAGCTTGTCACGGGATATAAATCCAGGTGTCCATGTACACAGCAAAAGGTTTAATTACCCATGTTCATAGAGGATTTTTTGATGGTGATTTAATTATTTTCCGATACTTAGCAGTGGTTTTTTTTATTTTCAGTTTCAATCGCTTAGACCTTCCACCCTATAAGAATTACGAGCAGCTGAAGGAAAAGCTGTTGTTTGCAATTGAAGAAACAGAAGGATTTGGGCAAGAATAGCTACAATTTGCACCTCGAAGAATGTGAACTCAACACAATGTATGTTCTTCACTTCTTCTGCTTGTTGCACACTTCATTGTAAAGTAGACTTGACTTGGATTTATTTAACAATACTAATGTGCAAGTAAATGGATGTTATCGTGAGGTTTTATCCACAGTAACTCTGGATTTCTACTGAGCACTTTCAGAAATCAAATGAGCGATCAGATGTGGCTGCAGATGAATTATGACCTAAGTAGAGGTTTAATACAGCTTTGGGCTCTGCTTCCTTTTACCATTCATTAATTAGAATGTGTCCTTAATGACTGACAGATTTCTAACGATAGTTTTGTCTTTCCTTTTTAGTAGCATTTTTTGCTACTGATGCACTGGGAAGTTCATTGGTAGCTGCGATGCTGCAGCAGCATCATGTCCTCTTTCCAGCAGCGTTCCTGGAGCCAGCTTGGAACCATCCTCTGCGGACTGTGAGCAAGTTCATTGCTTAAACTCTTTTTTTTTTTTTTTTCCCCTAACTCAAGTGTGGCCAGACTGTTTTCTTCCCCCTGCCTGGAGCCTGCTCACACACCAGCTGGACTCAAGCTGCTGTTAAGGGGGTTGTCAAAACTGTGGCACGAATCCAAGGCGTAGCTTTGCTTTTTTTCCTTTCCCCTCCTCTTCCAATCTTGCTCATCTCAGCAAAACAGACACCCGCCCAAAGTTGTTGGAACACTTCTGTCTGCCCTCAGAAAAATGCCAATCTTTTTCTTGGCGTGGAACACATTTAACGTACATCGATACTAACACTGTGGCCCTTCACTTGTTTCGCGAAAGACAAGACCACCTGGGATTGCACTGACTCCACTTAGATTCCCATCTGCAGACTGATGTTCCTTGTCTAAAGTGTGAATGGAAACGGGTCTCAGTGTCACTCTTACGCGTTGCAGTCAGTTTGCTCTGAAGACTTTTTTGGGCTCTCAGGAGGAGGTACGGAACAACTGGATTCAGAACGCGATGATACTTAACCTTTCTTGCTGATGACCTGCTATGCGATACTGGCTACGAGGATTAGGCAGTTGAGGCACGGATTACTGATTTTGGAAAAGCTGGAGCGTCAGGAAATAGTTCTACAAAGATTGAAACTCAAGTGTTTGGGGGAGGTTTCTAAGCTGCTTACAGCTAGAACTTCTGTAGTGAGTTCCTGCTGGATGAGTAACATCTTTTACTTCCTTTTAGAATCTGTTTGATAGTCAGTCCTTTTCTGGTTTACAATAACGTTTTTGCGTTTTACTGCTCCTTTAGACTGAATGCACTTTTTGGGTATGGTCAGCTCCTTCCCGACCCGAAGGGAGGAAAGCAAGCTTCGAGGAGCTGAGGTGTTAGCCGTAGCGAGCGACGTGACACTTGAAATAACACGTAGCACAAATTAAAGCCAAACTGCAGCTCAAAGCATTGAGACAGGAGCTGGTTTGAAGCAACTTCTAGATACTGGTGCGGAAACAGGACAGCGGGAAGCTGTAAAACTGAACTTTCAGTCCTGAAAACAATATATTTCTTTCCTGCTGTCCCTTCTATCTCTAAACTCTAAGAGGGATAAAATGATTCAGGCCTAAGAAGAGCCAGTTTTAACTGACTTCAAGAGTTTTTCAAGTCACACGAAGTGATACAAGCTTGTTGGAAGGCAGCATGATCCGACTGCACAGCAGACAGCTCTTTTGTCACATGTATTTCAAGACAGGCGTGGAAAAGAGCTGCTGATGGTCTCGAAATGACCTTCTCTTACAGTTTCATCGATGGTGAGAACTCGCCTGACTTCATGCTTTTACTAGAAGGAGAATCTGCCAACTTCAGAACATTTGATAGATATATTACAGGATACAGCTCACGAGGAGAAAAAAAAAAGCCTTATAAATATTTTCTGTTTATATTCATTCTTACAAGGAAATGTAGTTATCTAACATATTTACAAGAGAGATTAAATTAAGCAAGATAATGCAAGATTAAGCTATGGAAAATAGTCTGTGTTCTGCATAATGCTTTATGATTCACGTAGGGAACCTAGAAATATTGTTAATGTATAAATATCACCCGAAAGGCTCTCAGCCCTATATTTTTAAAATAAAGAATAGTTATAATTGAAATAGCCTTAGCCCTAGTTCTATAGGGTGTGGCTGTTTAATATTTTTATGGTTGAAATGTTTAGTTCAGGAAAAAGGTAAATGCTTGTATATATTTTTGCAGTCCGGGATTCCACTAATTCCATTTTTCTTTCTTTAATTTAAATGGCATGTTTCTGTGTCTTTTCTGCTGTACTAGGATGGGGGAAAGGGGGCTGGATATCCCAAGCACCAGATACAATTTTAAAATACTGCAAATAAAGAATTGATCGGGGAGGGGTGGAAAAATAGTATGTGGAACATTGGGTTTGCCCAAAATTAAAAAAAAAAAAATTAAAGCAACTTTACTGTGTTGAATTGGCAAAGTTTCTGAAGCCAGAAGTTAAGATGACGTAGGCATTTTACTTTGTCAGCATTGTGAATGCCAACAAATTTGTTCATTTTTTACAGTGTGTTGTGTAGAAATAAAAAGGAATTAATATAAGCCGCTGGTGCATTTTTCTGTTCTTTACGGGGATCTGGTGAAAACAACACGTGGATGAGCCCACAGCAGCTGGTGTTCCCGCCAGTGGGTTCCGATGACTTGGAGTTTTACAAGTAAGAGTTTTCAGCAGAGATTAATAAATTTGTCTCCCACTACTTCAACCAATTTTGCAGCCTGAGTTGCATCTGTCCATAGTACGTCACACACACGTGTTCCTGTGCAACTGTCAGTTGATCCTGACTTTCAAGTGTGCAAATAACGTTCACTTAGAATTTTGCCTTATTGAGAATGACATGAGCAAATGAAACGCGGAGCCGCTGATCCACGAATTAACAAAGCCTTATTGTTCTGGGTAGCTCAGGAAATGTTAATATACTAACGAAATGCACAGTAAATAATGCGTCATGTCTTCATCTGATCTAGTATGGATGTTGGTTTGGGATTTTTTTAATCCAGTTGCTTGTGTTTTTTAAAAACAAAAAGAAGCTTTTTTTTATTATTCTAAGTAAAAAAAAAAAAAGCTTGTTTATTTTTTTTGTTTGCATTTTTATGACATGCTGTACTGGATCTGTAACTTCAGCTCTCTGTGTTACATTGGTATCTCCAGCCCCCTTTTTGTGGTGTCTTAATTTTCATCAAGAATCACTGTTTGTGTATATTTGCTCTGGTGAACTCGTATATAAACTGGGATCAGCAGCACTGGATTGTAAAATACTGTACTGAAATTCATTGTTGAGAATTCCTTGCATTGTAATTTCAAATACTCAGGTAACTGTAACAGTATCTCAGTAAATCAAAATACTTTTATAAAACTACTTAAAGAGCTGGTAGTCTCGTCGTTCTTCCTTCTGTGTCACGCAGCGTCCATGCGCAAATAAACTGTCTGTCTCCTCTTCTTTGGGGGGCGAGGGGTTAGGCTGCCTGAAGGTGCTCTCCTAGCAGAGTTCTTCAGCAGCATTTCTTTCCTGAGACCTCTTCTGTCACTGTTGGTTGCACTGGAAATCCACAAGGAGCTTTCGGACACAGCTGCCTTTGCAGAAACCGCAGATAAAATAATACTTGACTTTTTTGTGGGGTTTTTTTGTAGTGCTCGCAGGCCTGAGGATGCTGCCCCGAGGAGACAGTGAGGCCGCTGGTGTGTGGGCAGTGATGCGCTGAGGGAGATGATCCGGAGAAAGGTTCTGCAGTGGCCACAGCTTTAACGTGTTCTTGTACCACGATTGCAGTGGTGAGAAACAGGCCTGCGACTGTGCGAGCTTGTGTTTTCTGTTTAGGAACGGCAGAGTGACAGGAAGGAGGGGAAAAAAGGCTCCGATGAGACCAGCCTTGTAGTTACCGTGATCCTCCTTGAAAGGAAAAGCGGTGTTTGCATTGTTCTTGTTGGCAGGAACCTCTCCCGATCACCGTGACCTTTCAAAAATAACCAGGCTTGGTGCTGCGGTGACGTTGGGCAGCTCCCTCAGCGCTCAGGGCTGCGTCCCATCAGGCCTCACAAACTTGTTCATGTCCAGTTTGTCCAGATGTTCCCTGAACTCCGACAGTGAGGTTAATTGTCCTTTCAGCAGACCTTGCCACTGGGTTTTCACTCTCCTTACTTCCCCAGATGTTCACGTGGGCTAGATTAATTCCATTTTGTTAGGGGCGTCAAATCCCAAGTATCCTTTTCTATGCCGAGTAAATACATGCAATAACAATCGCCTTTTTTTCTGCAGCAGGGGAGGTTAGTTTTGAGTTGCTTCCACCACGCTTTGGATGAAAACCCTTAAAAGCGTGCGACAAAGTTGTGCAAACCCAAAATATGGCACTGATTTGGGTGGGTTTGAGTTAATATGGCTGTGAGGATATTTCACATATACCTGAAGGGTTGGGGTTTGGTTTTTTTTTTAAAAAAAAAAAAAGGAGCAAGCCCCCACCCCAAATGCAATCCCCATGCAATGCACTGTAAATGTACAACTCAGTTACATCATTGCCTTAGTTCCTGGCTGGTTTCTTCTGTGCTGATGTTGGTACCAGTCCTGGGTGTGGGGTTCTTGATGGTTTTGTACATGGCAAGACAGGCACTGCTTGTGTAGTTTACACAAAACCTTGTTTGGTTTGGATCCGTGATGGCAGCTGTGTGCTGCGCTTACCTGTCGGCCAAACCTTATCAGCAGTGGTGGGACAAGATGCTGAATCAATCTATGGTAAAAATGACTTTCTGAAGCCAGGTTGTAAAACTTGCTGCTTGAACTGAAAAAGATTAGAATTTAAATCAATTAGGTTGCGGAGCTGTAACTATCCACTGGAAGAGAAAATAGCCGTATCCTAAAGAAGGATTTGTTCTGATCTCTGAAGATGCCTGATCCTATGTCCACTCCTAACCTATCTGCTCCAGTACTGCACAAATGACGGGATCCACTGGAGAAATAATTTTTTTCTCTGAGCAGCAAGTCCCTGCCAGATTTGAAGAACCAGTGGGCTTATCTGCTATGT